ACTGATGGGGCGGGGCTCCGGCTGCAGGACACGCCCCTGAGGGCATGGACCTCGCTCTTCCTCCTCTCGGGGCTGCAAGCCAAAGGAGCTCTAGGCCAATGGGTAGCTCTCCCCGATCGCGGGAGGGCTGGGCTCTTTGCGTAGGCGGGGCTCTGTGCAATCGGACTCTGCCTTGGAACCCCTGCGGGAGGGCACTGTCTGGTGGTGTTAGCTCGTGGTCCAGTCCCCGCCCGAACAGGTGGCTCGCCCCTCCCCTGGGCAGGTACGCGCTGCCGGGGCCCTGGCTGGGGGGGGTCCTGGGCTTATATGTGGCTCTGCTTGGAAGCCCAGGTATGGAGCACGCTGCTCGACCTCAGCTATGGACTTGGACGAGTCGCGCCTGCTGGACTCGCTCACCTACTTAGAGGGTCTCTTGGCCTTGGTGGTCTTCGCGTTGCTCACTTTTGTAGGCTCTCCCTACGGCCGCTACTCGTCGCAGCATCCCGGCCTCCAGGTGCCGGCGAGACCCGCCTGGTTCCTGCAGGAGCTGCCCTCGATGGCCTGGCCACTGTATGAGTACGCCCGCCCTGCAGCCGCGCGCCTCGGCAGCCTGCCCAACCGTGTCCTGCTGGCCATGTTTCTGACCCACTACGTGCAAAGGTAATGGTCTTCCCTCCTGCTCTCGCTCCTCCCCACACCGGGTGTCTCCCGGGGACTGACGCTCAGATAATTCCGGAATGCATAGGATGGTATGGAAAAGGAGATAGAAAGGACCGCACGGTCATGGTTAGTGGTACAGTGGTCCCGATTTCTTCTCTGGCTGTCTGCAGACTATCAGCGATGTCGCCCCAGCGGGCGGGGTGATGTTACTGCGTGTCTACTATTTCCCCCTTGGGGAATCTTTATCCCTGGTGCAGCCTCTCTCATAACCAGATGACCCAGCTTTAGCTTGCTAACAGCTTAGTCTCTCGAGACCACTCTGGACCCTGAATGTGAGTGAACTTGAGCAATTTCGGAGATGTGTTGCCTTTGTTTGAGATGGGATGGCTTTCCAGGCACTAACACAGTTAGCTTATGAATCTTTTCCCGGGAGAAGTTATGTGAAAGATGTTTCAGTGACTACCTCAAGTCTTCAGGTTTTCTAATAAACTGGACTGTCTCTACTTGTAACTGACTCCAACATTTGCACATGTTTTCATCTGGACTCGGAAAACTGCACAATAAAAAGGATGCCTCTGTATTCTAAGGGAGTTGTTCCGTGACATTTTTGAGTTTCTCATCCTCTGGCTTTGGGGACCTATCTTAAAATGCCGGTTTCCTGGAGATGCTTGGAGAATTCAGTGTTGCGTTGGCAGCCTGTTCTTTCTTATATTCCAGTGAGGGGGAAGAATGGCTTTCTCAGATCCGGTGCCCACAAGTCCCTGGTGTCCAGCATGGTACAGGAGTTGATTTTCATACCAGCCGCTCTCAGCGTCCTGAATGTAGTGTGCTTCTAGTTAGCTTTAGTGCAGGCGTTTTATGTGGGGGCACAATCAACATACAACAAAGCCTGAATTCTGTGTGCCTCGAACTGTCGATAGAGTATTCCAGAAGCTGGGGAGATGGCTCCGTGGGTAGCTATGAAAGCCAGGGACCCGAGTTTGGGTATCACAAAAGCTTCTGTAATAACACTGACCCTGTGGGGAGATGGACAGCAGAGATAGGAGACCGGGCTAGCTAGACTGGTATGCACAGCCGTGAATGACAGTGAAAGAACAACAGCTGAGATTGTCTTCTGACCTCCACATGCACTATGTGGCATACATGCATCGAGCGCGCAAACACACACACACACACACACACACACACACACACACAGAGAGAGAGAGAGAGAGAGAGAGAGAGAGAGAGAGAGGGAGAGAGAGAGAGAGAGAAATAAAAACACAAAGAAGATATATTCTACCAAACAAAGTTGTTATCAAATTGCTTAATCTATTTTTCTGAAGGGACGGGACATTAGTGCTGTTTGAATATCCACTGAACCCTTGTTCGTGGACATTCCATAAAAACACCGAAAGTTGTGTCTGTGTGTTATCACCTATGAATAAAAGTTGGTTCTGGGAGGCAAACTGCTAGAGGTATGTCCATGTAAATAACAAATCCCGGAGCTTCCCTTTGGACTGAGACTGTAGCTCAGTGGCAGGACATTTGCTTAAGCAATGCAAGGAGGGCTCTGAGTTAGGGGAGAGAGCACTAGCATTGAGCAAAGGGGAAAGGGGCTCACAGACTGTTGGAATGAGAATGTATGTACCATATTATATTGTACAGCCCAAAAGATGATAAGGGGCAGCCTCGGGGTTACATACAGTATTTTGAAACTAATACTTGCCTTAAAGTGTTATAACGGGGGTGGGGGGGAGGGGGAGGTCAACAATCTAAGGTTAAGCAGACATCCTTGCAGAAGTTATTTTTGGTGTAAGGTTGTGATGACCACTGCCCAAGGTTGTAGTGCTGGCAGTCTTTTGTGATAGATAAGTCTTGTCAAGAACACATTGGTGCAAGCCCCTCTCCAATTACTTCATGTCTTCTTTATCTGCTGTCGTTAGTACTTGGTGATTATTTGAACAGCTGTCACCTTTTACCCCTTGATGGAGTATCTCAGGCACATACGAACAAGGAGGTTTAGGAGGATCCATTCTTCATCGTGTGGCTCCTTGGTCTGGCGAAATCCTGTTTGCATCCATGCATTTGGGGATGCTTGTCATGCAGTAGGTTCAGAATTCAGTGATGAGCAGTGGCAAATACAGGTAGATACCAGGAATGGAGCCTTAAAGATAAGCAACCGAATAAGTCGTCGGATGATGAATGGGATTGAGCTGAGATGTGCTGCAACCATCAAACCGCACCTCCTAGTTCAGGGAATGGGTCTCAGTTCCCCTCAGAGGTTCATGCAGGTGCAACGTGTAGCATTAGTGCCAGCACTGACATGGTCTTGCAGTGAGAAGACATGTATCCTACACACATGTTCAGCACAGGTTGTTTCCATAACATTCACTCTTCACAAACCTGCCACCTGCTCAGTCCCTTTGCAAGCTACCTCATCTTTAGTTTTACTCTTTCTTTCTTATACCCTAACCCATTTATATCAATCTACATTCTATCATATGGCATTATCTCTCTTCCATCTTGCACTTCCTTTTTCCTCTCCCTGTCTCCTGGCATCTCCTCCCTTCTTCTTCCCAGAGTCCTGCCTAACCTCTTCCTAGCTAGTGGCCATTCAGCTTTTTATTACACCACTCACAGCAATACATTTTCCACACAGTGTACAAATATCCTACAACACAGTACTCAGGCCAAAGCAAGAGAATCTCAGGTTCAACATTAGTCTGGGCTACATCGTGGGACCTGTCTCGAGAAAACAAAGAACACGGCAGTGCTGTAAGCACGCTCCTTTTAAAACAAAAGATTATTTGTGGAATAGAGCATATTAATGCAAGGTCTTTGGCCTGGGAACAAGGGAGGCACCGAAGGGGACTGTCCTTTTAAGTAGGTAGTTTATTTAAAACATTATCAATGCTGTGAACACACAGACAAGCAGACAGCAAAATGTTGGGAGCTCTAAAGGAGTTAGGTCCCACAAGGCAGAGCCCCTTCTTGCAGGTCTCGGAGAAAGGGAAGACTTTGACAGCACAAGCCTGCAGCTAGGTTGTCCCTGATTCCCAGGCAGCAGAGGGCTGCCAGAGAGTTGAGAGGAAGGAAACTGGGACTCTGAAAATGTAGGTTAGGTGAGGAGGGCTGAAGTGTCGCTATCACACAGGTGGAGATTTGCATCCTTTTAGCTCCATAATGCCTTAGAGTCTGGCAGCTACAGTCAGTAAGCTTCCTTGGAGAAGTGAGAGTAACACCTGTCATTTACCTGGAATTCAGACACGCTGGGAAGCCTTAGGTGGCATGTCTCCTTCTCTGTGTAGAAAGCCAGGAACCCCTGGGCTGGAGAGATGGCCCAGCCGTTAAAGGCTAGGCTCACAACCAAAAATATAAGAAAGCAAGGAGCCAAGTTGTTTTTAGGCTTTTATAAATAAACGCTTCTAAAATGTTTTCTTAAAAAATATAGAGAAAGAAAAGAGAAAGACCCCAAGAGTGCACACGGCCTTGCACTCTCAGCTTCGCATTTGCTTTTAGGAGACACTTGAAACTGTGATGTTAAACTCCTAATGGAGAAACCTGTAGCTCTCCCTGGCCCACCAACCAGGGGAAAGCATGTTGACAATCCTAAGGACATCTCTTTCATTTTTGCCAACAAATTTCAAAACAGTTCATTCATCAAATTAGCCTAAAGCATGGACCAAGAGAGATTTGGGGTGATTACTTTTTTTTTTTTTAAGAAATATTGTGCATCTTGGAGTTTTGCCTGCGTGTGTGTCTGTGTACCACGTGGGTGTAGTGCCCCAGCATGGCAGAAGAGGGTGTCAGATCCCCTGAAAGGAATGACAGATGATTTCCATCTGCCTCGAGGTTGCTGGGGACTGAGCTTGGGTCCTCTGAAAGAGTGTCAGGTGCTCTTAACCCCTGAGCCATCTCTCCAATCCCTTCCTTACTGTTAAAACTGTTGGTTTAGTTGAGCCGTAGTTTGTAAGTCAGCCTTTGTCCAGCAGGTGTGCCAAGATAAGGCACAAAAGTCACAGAGCTCTCACTTTAGAATGTTAGTTGTGTATCAGGAAAGTAGGGATGTCAACACATCTGTTAAAAAGACTGAATCCAAACTATATTTCTGACAAAATGGGACATGTTTTAAGTTGGGGGCTTTTCATTTTCCTTAATAAGTGATCAACCCAAACAAACCATTTGAGTAAAAGCAGGTCCCATAGCAGTGTTTTTCATTTGGTTTCTATGGCACGGCATCTTGCTGTGCAGCCCAGGCTGGCCTTACACTTTTGATCCTCCTATTCAGGCTCCTGATGCTGGGGGTACAAGCCTGCTCCATCATACTCATCTTTGTGGTTTTTTTTTTTTGTTTGTTTGTTTCCTTAAGTTGCCATTTCACGTTCTTTCAGTGCTTTGTGAGTTTAGGAATTAACACTTAGTTGTTTATGTATTTTAGGTAGACCTGTTGGAAAAAAAATGCCACACAAGCCTTTGAAATTTAATAACAGACCTTTCTCAGTTTCCAATAGAAACTAGGCAGTGCAAGTGGGAGACATCTTAAAAGGCTGTTTGTAAATCTTTGGATTTTCATGGCTCTTGGTGTGGACAAAGTTAGGTTCATACCAGACAAAGGGATCTTTTATTATTGCTCTGAACATAGGGGTTTGACCCAGGCAAGAAGGCAGTTGAATAAAATGGCACACTTATTTCACTACCCTAAGCAATGGGTAGCCAAACAAATTAACACACTTACTTCCCCTTTTGGAAATAAATAGCAAGCAGAGAAGGATTGCCCAGAGGGTATGACACGTGCTTTTGGGAGAAGTACCAGGGCCTTTGCAGGTTTTGCACATTTAAGAAAGTTGGGGTAAGATGGGCTTTGCCAAGGCAAATAAGGAGACAATTACACAAAATATTTTGAAACAGCAGTTCTTGACTCATAACCAGTAAGGAAGGTGGAATCTGCCCAAGACAAAACACTTGCACGTATTAGCTACTTTCTTGTTGCTTTGATAAAACACGTGGCCAAGGAAACT